GGAAGAACTCTATTCTCCACCGAAGGTTTCAATGAATCCTCTTAAAGAGGAGGTTTACATAATGAGAACTTCAAGTTATTATTTTATATATGTATATAATATATATAGAAGAAGAAAGAAAGAAGAAAATATAAAAAGAGGGAGGCGATGTTCGAATGCTAAAACAATGCTTCGGTTTGTTCGAACGTGATATGTATTTTGTTTAAAATTAGTTTCTAACAACTATATTATTGTAGCCCTTTCAAGGGGTATCTTCTACCATGAATTTGAAGGGTTACACTCCATTGAACACTATAAATAGGGTTCAAGTGCAAGAACAAATTATCAACAATTTAATCATTCTTCTTCTTGATTCAAAGTTTCTATATTTTTTGATATTCTATTCGGGTTGAGTTTTGATTCCAAGATTATTAAGGAGTGCAGTCTTTGATAATATTAAAGTTAGGCATTGTATCTTGGGGGTAGAATTTTCAAAAGTCTATTTCCATTATAAGTAAGGAAATTACTATTTCAAAGATAGCGAATGTCGCGTCTTACATAGCGATTTATCTTCTTCAATTTTTTATTCTTTATACTTTTCTATTAGTTGAAATTGTTTTACCACACTGTTTACTGCAACAAATGAGTCACAAAAAGTACTATTACTCACACTTGATTTGTCCATCTAAGATACTACTGTTATGGGTTGGAAGCGCATTCCACTCACTTTTGAGACTGCTACAAAAATTGTTAGATAAAACATCCCATTTGAATGCCTGTGACAGGCCAAGATGGAGGCTGTAAATGGATCAAATTCGAATTGAATTTAGATCGGTTTAAGATTATGTTGGATTAAAAACTCCTATTCCAATCTAATCATCCACGGATCTAGTTTTTATAGGCCATATTCAAATCTATTGGACATAAAAAAATTCAATTCAAAAATCAGATTTAATCCAAATATCACAAGTAAGCTAAATTTTAGTAATTATATCTGAATTGAACTGAATTTAGTGCCGGGGCGGGGGTTGTGCTCCTTTTCATTTGCTCCTGTTAACAACCACAAAAGCATACATAGAAGGCAGATGAGAGAAAACACTTGATCTACGATGATTGAAGATTGTTGCATATTTTTTATAAAGACAAAAATATTATTTAAATAATGTCCACTTGAAACACAAAATTCGGCTTTAATCTTTTCACATAGGAAACGTGTAAGTTTAATCGATCTACTTTTAATGCTACCAAATTCATTGAATATCGAATTCATCCGATATCAATAATTGACAAAAAAAAATAAAAATTAGGGCTTAATTGATAAAAAAATTATAGTTTAAGAGTTATATATATAATTTACTCTAACTTATTTGTGTCACGTGACTGGCACACTTCGTCATGTTAAAAAAACTAACGGAGACAAACAAAAGAGCTCAATCGACAATTAATGAGTTTAGGGGCTCAATTAACACCACAAAAAAAAAAAATTAGGGGCTCAATTGACACAAAGATTATAGTTTGAGGGATATATGTGTAATTTACTCATATTTTCTAAATATCTATCTTTATTCTAATTTCGGCATTCATATAAAGGAAAAACACCAATAAGTCATATTTTTTTAAAAAAAAATCATTAAGTCCTATCGTATTTACCTTGGGACAATTAAGTTATATTTTTTGATAATTTATTCCCAAAAATTCCTAAACTACATTAATAGTTTATTTTGTTCTAATTTTATCTTTCCCATGAAAGCAAAAATTATATTTGTATTTTTATATTCAATTATATTCATTGAATATAATTTTGTTTATCTTAAATTAAAATTCAAGTAAACTATACTTTTAATTATTAAATCATCTATCCTATTGACACGTAGGAGTTTATATGCGAGTAAATCTTATTACAAAAGTCATTATATTATCTTTTATATACAATCTTGTATATTTTGTTGCTTGAATTCATTTTTTTAAGCCTTAAAACAATAATTTTTTTTAATTAACTCAAAATGTGGAAGGAGACGTTAAAAAAAACAAAATTAGATGAATTTTTGTCAATAATTATATTCATAAATTAGTTTTTATATTGTTAATTTATTTAATTGTATAACTTTATGTTGGAGATTTGATAATGAAGTGAGTCAAAATTTATATGCTTAAAAAATTTACATATAAAAAAATAGAGTTGTATAATTTATCATTTCTATAAGTCTTTATTGTTAATTACGTGTTTTGAGTGTTATGCACTAATTAAAAGAAAATAATAATTTGCTTGGGATCCTAATAACAAATATTTTTGATAAAAATATAATTAATGTGTAGATGAAAAAGATAAAATTGGACGAAAACATTTGATTACAAAAATAAATAGCTCATGGAAATCAGGTCAAGTTTTTGGGTAGACCAGAATGTTCAAATCCCTCATCCCTCAAAGAGGAGCATGTAAGGATGACATCATGTTATCAATGTAAAATATATTTTCAGTGCCATTGAACCTTTAGGAGGGGGCTTCAGGCTTCTGCTCTTCAATTGATGCTAGTCTGTTTGACAATATATCAAACTATGGACATTAGCCAATTTAGCACCCCGTTATTTAGGTCAAGTGCCCATCACTCACATAACCATTAAGATAAAGAGACTGCAAAAACAATACCCTGGTAACGCGTAGAGTACGAAAAAAATGAAGAAAAACAAAATGTCGTACCCAATGCACATGCACGACTCTCATTTATAAGATAATCTTGAAGAAAATAAAGAAAATGGTCGGAAAAAAAAATAATGAACCTAACACAAGAAATGAAGACTAGCGAACACGCTTTCAACCTCACATTTTGCCAGAATATAATTCTTCGACAAGCTAATAACCTTGAAATTGAATACATTTTTCTCGATGAACTTTTATTTCTCAAGGTAATTGAAGTTGACTTCAAAAACAAATTTGAAGGAAGAAACTATACTCTGTCATCCTGTATGCTGGTTTAATCCACGATCTTTGGTATTGAGGAGGAAGGGGCTGAGAAAAAGTGTCCTATCTGGTATGGAATCTTGCTGAGAGATGAGTCCCTGTGAACAAGCAGGTCTGCAGGACGAGAAGCTTGAGGAATAATCCCCGTGGCTGCCTGTCTTTCTCTGTAGGATGGCCAGGTGACCAAATAAAGCCCAGCTATAATTAGAAGTCCTCCCAGAATGCTGTTTCAAAGCATAAATCAGGCCAAGTTATAGCCCCAAGAATATGTGTTCTCAAAAGTACAGCTACTTTCTCTTATCCAAAGTCAAGTAAGGAAAATGTGGCATATTCATCTAAATTGTCATCAGAGAAACATAAAAGGTGAAGAAATCGGGGCTTGTAAATACAGTTTGAGGTTTCGGCGTATAACCTTCCCAAATAATAAATAGGGCTTCCGAGGAAAATTCTTGACAGAAGTGCAGAGGGTTATAGGGGGCCACCAAAGCCGGTCCCAGGACCTTATTGGACCATGTCAACAGTCCATAGTTGAGGGCAGATGCAACAATTCCCTGAGACATCAAACAAGAGAGCAGGTTAACTGCATAAAGTTAATCGCACCTCGCAGTAAAACATTGATATAAACGAGGATATATAAAAGGTAATACATGCATTTATACATACAAATGTTTTTTAGTCAAAGATTATAATTTTCGCAGGATAAATGTAAAGCGATGTGAAATACACAGAAACACATGTTCAAAATGACCACGTCATCTGAAACTTAAAAGAGCTTCATATGAGGACTTCCATGTTGCTTTAAATAGAATATATTGAACACAGAGAAGAATAATAATGATGATTAATTGGGTGTCTGTAAAGTCCACAAAACGGATAAGGAAGCAGGACAAGTCAAATCAACAAAGCACACACTCGATAAGTCGTGTCATTTAAGTCTCAATAAAGACTCTAAATATTCTCTCCGTTCTTAAATATCTGTCATTTAAAATTTTTATATATAGATTAAAAAAACTATTAAATAGCTCTAATATGAGTAAAAAATAATTGCACAAAACTAAATACTCTTATTCAATACGTATTAGGAAGGAAAAGAATATGAAAGACACTTAATCTCTATATAATCTAATGCATTAAAAAATTGAGGGTAAATTTGAAAGAAAAAAATATTAATTATTCTTTGATTTCATTAAACGACAGATATTATGAAACAAAAAAAATTATGTAAAACGACAGATATTTAGGAACAGAAAGAATAATATATTGTCATATTATTTAAATTTTTTATTTAATTTTAAAATTTGATCAATATAACATTACGGCACCGCTAAAAGATAAAATGGCTCTAGATGCACTTACTCTCTGCATTATGTGATGAAATGGACTTAAATGCGGGTTAGTCAAAGAAATTTTAAATTTTGTGCAAAAAAACAAAAATTCTATATATCTTTCTAATTTGTGGGCCTTTATATAAACCTAAGTATCTGCATAAATGTTCAGTTTTTACTTAAATAAATTAAAATTACAAAAATTAATTGATTATGGGGATTAAATATAAGGGATCCACTTGTTAATTTGTAAATTTATTATAAGATAAGGATACAATATAATAGAAGTTGATTGCAATACCAAAAAAAAAACGTATCATGTCTCTATTTATTACATTTATGATTATTTTTATCATATTTATGAGTTATTTTATTATAGTTGTGATATTCTAAAAAATGGTAAAATAAAATTATCACAATAGTGATAAAAATATTTATAAATATAATAAATATACCAAAAAATATAATAAAAATATCTCCAGAAAAAAAGATAAATTATCCACAAAAATAATAAATTTTTTAATTATAAAATAACTCATAAATATTTTAAAAAATACTAATTAAAATAATAACAATTGAATGTGCAAATATCATAGTTGAATCCCTGAATAGTAATGGTGATGTCACCTTTACCCTCAAATACGTTTTCAATAAATTGGATGTTGACGTTGTCGATCTCTGTCTTCAAATAGGGATGAGTCGATGCCGGTGAAGTGAAAACACCTCTGATGATCCCAATGGACGCCTTATCTTCCACCTTCGTCTTTCCATTGTCCCACACAAAACCTCTTCCCTCTCCTATCACCACCACCAAAACCTCTTTATCACCGCCACCACGCCTCCCTCTTTTCACTGTTTCCTCCATCATTAATGAAATATCCACTTCAAAGAACTATAAACCATCAACATACCCTTCAAAACCCACTTCAAAACAATCAACACCACTAGCTCCACAACCGGCAAGGCCAGTGAAGCGGTCCCTACCGGCGATCATCTTCAAAACATTCGATGACATCATAAACAACTTCATAGACCCTCCACTCCGACCATCGGTAGATCCAAGATATGTACTCTCCGACAACTATGCCCCCGTCGACGAACTCCCTCCGACGGAGTGTGAAGTGATATATGGCTCCCTCCCATCGTGCCTCGACGGTGCGTACATTCGAAACGGCCCAAACCCTCAGTTCCTTCCTCGTGGACCCTACCAGCTCTTCGACGGCGATGGAATGCTTCACTCTATCAAGATTTCTCAAGGTCGGGCCATTCTTTGTAGTCGTTACGTCAGGACCTACAAGTACGTAGGGGAGAGAGACGCCGGCTCTCCGGTGATCCCAAGCCTCTTCTCCGGCTTCAATGGCCTCACCGCCTCTGCGGGGCGTGTAGCAGTAACAGCAGCCAGAGTACTTGCCGGACAATTCAACTTCGTCAACGGCATTGGCGTTGCAAACAACAGCTTGGCTCTCTTCGGTGGCAGTCTCTACGCTCTCTGCGAACACGACCTCCCTTACTCCGTAAAAGTGGCCAGAGACGGCGATGTCGTAACCTTAGGTCGCCATGATTTCGACGGCAAGCTTTTCATGAGCATGACAGCACACCCCAAGATCGATTCTGTCACCGGCGAGGCCTTCGCTTTACGATACGACGCTATGCCACCGTTCTTAACCTTTTTCCGATTCAATTCCGACGGGACAAAACAAGCCGACGTCCCAATCTTCTCCATGACACGTCCTTCGTTCCTTCACGACTCCGCCATTTCAAAAAAGTACGCCATATTTGCCGACACACAAATAGGAGTGAACCCAGTTGACATGATCCTCGGAGGTGGGTTTCCGCTTCGTTCAGACCTGACAAAAGTGCCTAGACTCGGAGTAATCCCAAGATATGCTAAGGATGAATGAGAGATGAGGTGGTTTGACGTGCCGGGGTTCAATATAATGCACGCCATTAACGCTTGGGACGAGGACGGCGGCAATACGGTGGTGATGGTGGCTCCGAACGTATTATCGGTGGAGCACACGTTTGAGAGGATGAATTTGATCCATGACTCGGTGGAGAAAGTGAAGATTGATCTCAAGACTGGGATTGTGACGAGACAACCATTGTCCACTAGGAATCTAGACTTTGCAGTGATCAATCCGGCTTATGTGGGGAAGAAGAACAGCTACACCCGGCTACAAATTACAGATTCAATGAAAAAATTTTTAGTCATCAAAATCCTCTCATTGACTATCGTCACCATATATATCCCTATGAGTTTTGAGTCATAAAATCTGAAATTTGTTAGGGTTAAAGATGAGATTTTTGGTTCGGTTTTCAATGAAAAATGATCTAAAGTTTTATGATTTCAATAGACAATGAAATGAAAAAAAGAACAAAAAAAGTAGATATTACAATGAATCAGTCTAGTCTCATGATTTGAAATGTTTTGATCAGTCTGTTAAGAGTCAAACTATTTTATTTACAAAATATTGTGCAATAATTCCAAAAATGTTTCTTGTTTTAGCCTCGCCAAAGTTTTGAATCCAAAATCTTTTCTCTACTTTACATCGAATTAAATCACATGTTCTATAGCCTATATTGGACCCGATCAATTAATTTAAGTTTCATTCTTGGGATCTTACATTCTAGCCAGATACACATAGTGCTTAGTGTCCATCATTTATGTTAGCCCAAGTGTTTTTTCTTTAGTTGAAAACAAAATTTTGAACTTTGTCCATGCTTTTTACTCAGGTATGTATACGCAGCGATGGGGGATTCAACAGTATTTAAGTTATCAGGGGTGGTGAAGCTTGATGTATCACTATCAGAAGATGATCGTCGTGACTGCATAGTGGCTAGCCGGATGTTCGGACCCGGCTGCTACGGCGGCGAGCCCTTCTTCGTGGCAAAGTCGCCAAGGAATCCACAGGCCGATGAGGACGACGGGTACGTATTAGACTACGTACATGATGAGAACACAGGAGAGTCAAAGTTCTTGGTAATGGCCGCCAAGTCGCCTGATCTTGTGAGGGAAAGCGAACTGAATAAGCTGTGAAAAATGGTTAAGTTGTTGAGAAATTACCATCACAATGGTACAAAAAATGTGCGACTTTGTGTGATGTAGCCATCAATTTAGTATATGTAATATTATTCTACATGTAAATATAAGATTTATTTTTTAATGAGAGCAGCCACTTCGATAAAAAATCAAATCGTGTGAAATAGTTGCCATGTCAGCCAAAGGGGCTGATTGTCTCGAGGAAAATAACGTTTCCGTTTTCTCTCTTTCAATTTTTCTCTGTCTACTGTGTATCCCCAATCACTTTAGCTGTCCATCCACTTCAATGTTGTCCTTCTTTTGAGAAAATTTTTCATGGTTCTAAGGCGTCAGCGTAGCATTCAAAAAATGTGAAGTCATCTAAATTAATTGATTTGATTGACAGAACGGCAACTTTCATCTTCTTTCCGTTATTTCTGTCCTCTAATTTTTCTTTTCTAGTTTTACATTATAATCCAATTAATTACTGCCCGATTCTCTAAAAAAATTTTCCTTATCTTTTAAATTTCTCTGTCTCTCTGTCTCTCTGTCTCTCTCTGTCAAAACTCATTATCTCTCTTCCTCCCTTAGTCCACTTCTACCATTTTTCTCTGCTGTGCCATATTTTTCAACAAGAAATATTAAATATATATACGAGTATCATTCTTTGTAAAAACAATTATAGATTTGAGTCATAAATTTACGATTGGTGTACGTGCTAAATTTTGCACAATATAAAAACGAGGACAGATCTCTCCTTTAGTGAACTCGAGTGAATCAGTGGAGTGGTCAACCACGCCGCTTGGAACAGCCTGTGAGATCCTGTGGTAACCTGGAACGGTAATGGGAGACCCTCGTGGATCAAAGGAACGATCCAGTAAGGCTGAAGAAAGGTTCCTGAAACAAAGAAGAAGAAGTTAGAAGGGCGCCGAAATGTTTTTCGGCATATCCCATCTGACGATCAAGTCAGTCTTTAAGAGAGAGAGAAAGAAGAAAACACTGAGTATGTATTGTAGCAAAGGGTTTTTGTTGCATACCATCTTGCCTTTTGCGAGGAGTATTTATTCCTCAAAAACTCATGATTAGTGTCAGTGTAGTCAGTAGGTGATCATTAAGTGCAGGCAGTGTGCACACTGATTCTGATGAGGAATGTCTTCTCTTTTAACTGCTCGGGATCCCGAGCAATCAATACCGTGTCATCGGGCTGCCGACTGTTCAATGAGCTCCTCTCGGGGAGGACGCAATAAATGCCCAGCCTTAGAGACATTTATTGTCTTTCACTTCTGAGCCTTACCGCATTGAATGCAGTCTCATCAAAGGAATGGTGTAATTAAATGCTTGTTTTCTCAAGTAGGGTGTCAGCAAGGTCATGCGGTCTTTCTGTCTCTGATGTGACACAATATGTCACGCGTCCATTCCTCATTGGCTGTGGCTCCTGCCTTCCTGTGCCTTCTGACACCGATTGTATAAGACGAGGTCATGATAGCTAACCTAGCCTAGCTTAGGCTAGTGACCAGTGCGTCAATAGCCTCTGCTGGAGCAGAGAACTTCATCCTGGATGAGAGGGAGGTACATCTCGGTACCGAGGAAGAGGTATATATCGGAGCCGAGGAAGAGGTATATCTCGAAAACCGAGGAATAGGTACATTTTGAATCCGAGGGGGGGCCTAGCGATCGATGTACCATATCAGACCGAGGGTATGTGTCGGTACATAAAAGCGTATTGGATGCCACTCGATCCATGATAAGTACCTCAGGGTAGAGGGGACTTGTGACCCGATGGATACGTGATCTCGATAACAGGGATCAGTGATATCGAGGACACGTGTCTTCATCTTGGAGTGTTCTGAAAATGTCCCATCAACTGCCCCCAGCCTTCGATCTTCTGACACCGAGGACACGCGTTGTAAGGAGACGAAGGATTTTGCAACAACCCCAACTGCTTCATCATTGCCCCTAGCCGTTTTCCCTGCCTAAGATGTCATGCGCATTAAATGCGTCGTTTTGTGCTTCGCGCCCAATGATGGGATAGATGTTATATATAAAGGGGCTTTCTCTCTTCTTTCCTCATTTCGTCGTTCTGAACTTTTCTTCACAGAGAGCCCTTGCCTGAATCTTCGCCAGAGACTTCTTTCCTTTCGTTTGTCAACTGCCCAACCTTTTCACTGAAGCTTTAAAGCCAGCAGACCCATCTTTGCTTCTGAATATTCTTGGAAGAGTCGATTCAAGTTTTCTAAAAAAACCTCTTTTTATACTCTGGTGAGTCCCAGTATCTTCCCTTTCTTTGCCCTTCTGTCTCTTTTGGTTTTCCGATCACCAGAGGTATTTTCTGGTTGCCCTTCAGCGACCAATCTCCGGGAAGTCTTCTTGGGGATCTTCGTGGAAAAGACCCCCTCTATTTTTTTTTATCACTTTTTGAAGATGCCTCGTCGTCGCCCTGCCCCCGAGAACCCTCAGGCTAGTACTTCGAGGCCAGGGAAGTATAAAGTAAAAGGTGGTGAACAAATTAATAGATTTAAGGTTAAGTACAGCATTCCCCCGAATGTAGACATAAAGGATTATGACCCGGCTGTGCACCCTTGTACCCTCGGTACCGAGGACGCAATGCCTTTTTTTATCAAAGCCATCATAGAAAGTGGAATTAGGTTCCCTTTGCCCCCTCTGCTTCTCCAGTTCCTCTCTCGTTTCGCCTCTTTCCCGGGCAATATTGCCTTAATGTCTTTAGGATAATTATGGGGGTCCTAGAGCTTAATAGGCGTCTTGGGGTAAACGTCGGGTTGGACGATATCCTTTTTTGTTATTCCCTCTTGAGAGTTACGCCTCAACAACACTTCTACCTCAAAGCCAGGGACCCATCTATCTACCTCGTAACTCACCTCCCTGACTCGGACAAGGGGTACAAGGATGACCTACTCATCTTCAAGGGATCTTGGCAGAGAGGTGTCGGTCCCGAGTATGACGGCTTGTTATGTCCTTTGGAATGGAGAACGACAAGTACGTCGGTTCCTTCGAGTCTATTATTCTGTTTTTGAGATTTTCAACGTACTCATGACCCACTCCCCTCTTTTTGCTTGTGAAGACATCTCCCCTCGGGAAACAGCTCCTCCACCCCGGTCGTTGGTGAATTTTGCTGCCCTAGCCACCGTTTGGAGATTCACTGGTTCTGATGGGCTCGGCCGGGCTGCCTACATCCTCATCAATTATACTCCCAGATACAAGAAGTTTTCACAGCTTCCCCAGCCTTTCGACCCCTCGCGGTGGTCTGAACTCTTCGATCAGGTGGTGGGGCAAGAAGTCGAGGAGAACTTGGAAAAAGACCCCGACCGGGCCTCGGAGGCAGAAATAGAGGGTAGAGTTGAAGAGCTCGAGGTCAGAGAGGACTTAGTTCCTTCGCACGCCGAGATGGGAACTTCGGGGAGAAATTCGTGGCCGGACTTTCAAATCCTACAATTTCTAAACTCCGAGGACGCCCTCGAGGTAGCCATGTCCAGCACGCCCCGCATTGATCTAGGGTTCCTAAGGCAGAGACAAGCCCTCGCTGTCGGGAGGGGACGAGGGTCGACCGGTGGGGCCCCATCTGCAGGGACCAGCGCCACCCCATCCTCAAGAGTCGTTAGTCGGGGTCAAGTGCGTGACCGGGATCTTCAGGTAGAGGAGAAGAGGAGGATCAAACATAGGCACGATGGCCTTGGCAGGGGATCCAGGGCCCCCTCTGCTCAGCATCAAAGTGGGAGAGGCCGTGGGTTGCCCCTGTTCCTCAGCAACAACAACAACAGCAGCAACAACAGCAGCAACAGCAGACTCCTCCTCCCCTTCCGCCGACAGTGGAAGCCGCGGAGTGGAATCCTCGAGCCACTGATCACATGAACCGAGTGATCAGGG